CTCAAAAATCATAGTACATTTTTAACGAAAAAAAGTTTAACAATTATTTTAAAAAATAATCGCCCGTTATCAGTTTTCATTAACAAAGTAAACAGAGCGGACAAATCCTCAGTTCCCGAAATCCCGCGGGATCCCGACTCCATTAGTTAGTATAGTAAGGCCAGATCCTGGCTCACTTTACATGGAAAGTGCCATATGATTGAAGTGTTAGCGTTTCAAGGTCAAAAGTGGTGTGAAGGTCAAGAGTGTATTGCGAAGTGGGGTGGTGGTTTCAAGGTCGAGTGTTGAGAAGAAAGGGGTGTTATTGTTTGTGTTTTTCGGAGGGGGTGATGGCTGAGGCCATTTTGGCATTTCAAGGTCGAGTGTTTGAGAAGAAAGGGGTGTATTGTGTGTTTTTCGGAGGGGTATGGAGTGAAGCCATTGGATTTCAAGGTCGGAGTGGTGAGAACAAAGGGTTATTGTTTGTGTGGAGGGGGGTGGCGGCGGCTCAAGGCCATTGGATTTCAAGGGTCGATCGCTGAAACAAGGGAGGTTGTGTATGTTGTTTGTGTGTTGTAAATCAAATTGTTGGTGTTTTTCTGTGGGTGCCCGCCTCAAGGCTCAAACGTGTTTGCAATTTAAATATAGATTATAGAAGATGGTTAGATTGAAATGTGGTTAGTTGTTAAGGGGGGAATATGCGGCGAACGGCTGTTTGGAATGCCTTCATTCAAACCTTATTGGTATTGCTATCTTGATCTAGCATGAGGCGGTCTTATGGGACCTGGAGACTTTTAGGAACAGTTCAAAACCATTGTCCAAAACTATTGAGTGGGGATTGAACTATGTAGGACTTCTATTTTTAATTACAAAATACTGCGTTGATTGCCTTATAACGGACTGAACGAGACTCCAGTTGGGTGATAATAATATGTGATGAAGAAAATTAACATTTGACGATAAGTAACAATCGCGTGTATGTACTGGTCGCGTTGGCCTTTGGCATATAGTGCGGCACCGAAAAGGGCCTTGGGAAACTAATGGCCTTGGATGATTTCGCTTTAGTAGAAAAATAAGAGCCAAATCTTGTAAGATATTGTCTCCCGTCTTAGCAGAAAATCATCGTTTATCAGTTTATCTGACTAGATTTCAAGGTCACCAGAACTGCAATGTAATGGTATATCGCAGGCGTAGATTTCAAGGCACCAGAACAGTAATGTTTATCGCATTAAGATTTCAAGGTCATCAGACAGCAATATAATGGTGGAGAAACGGTTGAATGGAATCAGTCGAAATAGTGTTCGGCCTAATCAGTTAAACATAGTGGATCTTAATCAACTCAACAGTAGCACCTACTGCAAACCATTTCAAGAACGTCAAGGATAATGAAGGTCGGTGAAAAGATATTAAAGTGGATTGTATGCGAACTATCAATACCAATATGGCGATCGAATACTGATTCGATACTGAGAACTTTTAAGATGATCCTTCCTTTGCGCTTTTATTGACTACTTTCAAGACGACAACCGTCTGCAGAATTCAAGGACACCTGTCCAGGGAAGAGTGTTTATAACAAGCGCCGGAACGGCGGGGAAGACTACTAATTTAACAATTTATGTAAAAAAGTTGTAATGAGATAGAGAGAAGAAAATAATAAAATGTTGTTGATGGAGAGAGAAAATTGTGTCATCTCTCTTTTTTTTTGCACTTTAGAAGACTTTTTGTGCTTTACTGGTAAGGTTTTTTTGAGTTCTAAGTTAGGCCGAAGGTACTTTTTTGTTAAATATTGTTAAATTAGCGGTTTATTTTAATACAGAAGTTAACCGCACAGAATTGCTTATTTGCCAATTTATTTAAAGTTTTGCGAGATCCCGCAAATACCGGGATCCCGCGGGATTAACAACTAACAATCCCGCAAATACCGGGATTGAGATTTTGCTGCGGGATTGCATTCCCTAGTCCGCACTGTTAAAAGCGCCTTAAAAATAGGCAAACCACGTAAAATACCCTAAATAAATTCTCCCTGGGTATTTGACAATTCCCTTCAACCTTCCTAGATGTAAGAAAATACAAAACAAACCCTGGACATACATTTTTGACCCATTTTATGAGCGGGTATTGAAATGCTACCTTGCGCTTAAGAAACCCGCTATAGCAGCAAGTGCCGTCCGGGCTTGCGGGGGTCGCGGCATAGCTGAAATTGAACCTTAGAGTGTCTAGAACATCCTCTGAAAGTTTCATAAAGTTATCACAAAATGCAAGGTTGAAACCTATTTTGGCTCTTAACCCCTGCACTATTTGCAAACCTACTAATTTCTCAGGCAGGGTGAAGTGGTTCCTTTAATGTTTAACAATGTGTATCAAAAAATTACGATAAGTTTTTACTGGAGAATTCAAAACTATACCTTTAAACCTATAGGACATTTTTTGCGCATTTTTCCAAATTTATTTTTTATATAAATTTCTGAATAGAGTTGAGTACCTACATAAGGCTTTTAAAAGTTTCTTTAATGGTGTTTTATTTTAATCTTTCTTGTTGGGGATGTACTTTGGCAGGATTTTAAAGATCTATATATAGTACCAGAGGCACTATAGAACTTTTATGATGAAGGTTTGCATTTAACCCTAAATAACTTTACATATAATATTTCCCGCGCTTTCTTAAACATTCCCATACGAAATATTCCTGTTCGTAGTTGAGAACATTTTTGTGGAATTTGCAAGTTCTGGCCACAGTTTCGGATCTCCCTTCACAAGTTATGCCTACGATTTTGCTGCAAAATGTAAATTTAGTAAACTATATACAATCACTTAAAGTTTTTATTTGAGAACATTTGACGAGGTATTTTGCATTGACCATTAAGATTTATCAAGAACTCTAGTAATGAGATTCCTCCAGAAATTCTAGTTACCTACAAGTGTAAAAAATTAGGTGCTACCTCTGCATGCGCCACCCGTCGGTTTTTCAGTTGTGTTTGATGAATGCGTAGGCAGCTGTATCCTGCACCCTAAGCAGCTT